AGCGGAGCCCGGGCGGGCGGGCGGTACGAGCGGAGGCCTCTGAGCGGCAGGAAAAGGGAGCTGGGCAGCGATTTCTTGGCGCGCGGTGGGGGGTCTCTTGGCCGGCCCCGATTTTTTTTTCAGAGGGGAATATCATGCCTGCCTGCAACCCTCTGTAAGCGGAAACGGAGCTGAGGGGGTGGTGTGCACAGCCCTTGCAAGCTCCATTTTCACTTGCAGAGGCACCATGGGCCGGTCCTTCTCTATATCCAGTGTGGCCCCATAGGCCAGATCTAAGTATCCTGTGGGCTGGGGCCGGTCCCCAGGCCTTCTGTTTGACACCCCTTCTCTAATGGTATTTCAGGGCTATTCAGAAAAAAACGTGGCTGGGTGCTTAGGCCTCCATATGTGGAGATTTCTAGGTTTGCTTTTCTGACGTGTTATCATCCAAATGGATCTTTTGTCCTTCCACTAGCAGCCCAAGGTGTGGTTGGTTGTGTTCGATTTCAGCGCTTCTATTCACATTGGGTAATAATTGTGTAAGCCTGTGGCAGAGAGAGGAAGTTCGTAACAACAGCACAAGGAAATCAACAGAGCCAGAGCGGGAAAATCTTCTCTTACCTTCTCCCTTTAATCCCTAGGACAATCCTGACTGGAGATACAAGACCATGAGCAGTTCCTGGGTTGACTCATTCAACTTTCCATTGTTCTTTTCGTTGCCCTTCACGGTTTTAATTCCAAACTACAACCTTTTGGAGAGGGAAGATTTTGTGCTAAGCAATAACTGAAGCAAGTTGTAAAATGTTGCACAACAGGTTGCTGGCTTTTAAGTATGATCATTACTTAGGGAAGGGGAGCAGGCTAAGATGTTGAAATCGCAACCTTGGCTTTTCTTTATAGGATTGAAAATGTGTGTTTCAGGAATTTCTGGGTCTAATCTCACAAATTTAAAATGAAAACGGCCTGCTTTAAATTAGCCTGGAGGGTCATGTGGATTTTTTTTTTTTAAGGTACCATGTTTTCCTGAAAATACAACCTACCCTGAAAGGAAGTCCTAGCTTGATTTTTACATGTGCATCCAATATAAGCCCTACCCCCAAAAAATAAGCCCTAATTAAGATCCCGCCCACTCCAGAGTAGACGGGTGAAAATTAAGCTAGGATGGGAATGGGGAGGGTAGAGCTGCCCTACTTCTTACCTTTGGATAACCAAGTTACAGATCGATCCAGAGCTCTGTTATCGGTTGCAGAGGCCTTCAGGAAAGCCTTGCCAGCTGCAGAAGAAGTTCCTGAAGGCCTCTGACAGAAAAAAGGAGGCCAGGGGCAACATGTGCAAGTGAGGTTAGTCAGTGGATGACATCCCCCGAAAATAAGAGCTGGCGCCTTTTTTGGTGGCAGAAAAAAATATAAGATAGGGTCTTACTTTCGGGAAAACACGGTACTATATTGGAACCCAAGGAAAAGTGCATGAAGTCTTTTCCTCATTAAAACAGCCATGTCATCTTCCAAGCTCACGAAGAAGAAAACATGGCTGCTTTTTAGCCATTTAAAGAGAATTACTTTGAAAAATGTTTCAAAGACCTCTCTGGATTTGCACAGCCTCAGTCAACAGGAGACTATTTTCTGGATGTTCATCTCTTTCACTATAGTTTGCAGTCAATCTGAACAGCTTGGTCTTTCTTAACTGGCATGTAGTTTTGACTGTGTCCTTAAGAGCACTGGAAAACCTGGGAGATAAATTGGACTAAAAGACAAATTGTGTGTCTTTTTGCAGTGATAGGGATTCCAAAGCCAACTCACTTCACAAGGTTGTTGTTGTTGTGAGGAAAATAGGAGGAGGAATATATTCACCATCTTGAGTTGTTTATAAAAATCATACAGAAATAGATACATAAATAAAACTAAATTTGTATTAGGTTTGATAAGGGCTTTGATAACATCTTCCACAATTTGAACATTACTTTTTTCCTTGTCATGCTGCAAACATTAATGTTGTGCATTAAATTTTTAATACCGTGGCACCTTGGTACTCCACTTCTTTGAAACTCATCAAATTTGGTACTTAATGCATTTTGACACAAAAGTTTGTCCCAGTACTCATCATTTGTTTGGTACTCAACACACAAGCTACAACTTGTCGATGTTAGCTTCTTTATGACTCATTACGTTATTCTTTGTGGGAAACATTTGTTTGGTGCTCATTGTTTTTGGTACTCATCACACTTCCCGGAACCAATGAACAATAAGTACCAAAGTACCACTGTATATTTTTTTTGGGGGGGAGGCATAAATTATGGGGTGAATCCAGCCATTGGAGTTTATATCTTAACCATGTGCAAACCTCATCAGTTTGCTAAACTATACAAGGTGTGAACCCACTTCTCTTGAAGTTCTTAAGAGATCTCCGTTGAAGTGATTCAAAGGACGGGTCTGCAACCAAGCTTTCAAAAGACCTGAAGTTTGGAAGATGGTTCTAAAGAGCAAAAAAGAATTCTAGATTGTGCTTGTGAAGACGACCAGTACTGTGTTTGCCTCTGTCTCTGGAAAACATCATTAACATGTCACTTTTCTCCCCCCTTTTCAATTTCTCATAGATATTCTCCATTTTTGCCTTTGCTACCTGTGGTGGATACAGTGGGAAAACATCTATATTCCTCACCTGTAAAAATAACCAAAATATCACATGGACCCGGGATTTCTTCTATCCCTTCAGGTGAGAGCGTGGCACTTTTTAAAACCCACCTGGTGGTTCTTGGGTGTATCTGCCTGTGATCCAAGAAAAGTTATTGTAGGAGATGACAGTTATTTGTAAAGATAATAACATTGTGATAGAGCTGGTGTTGGGCCAGTCCTGCCCATTTCCACAATCTGCCTTGTGTGGTTGCTGTTGGGGGGAAATTGGAGGTTGGTGAAGCTATCTGGAGTTCGTGTGGAAAGGCAGGATCTTGAATCAAATAAATGAGCAAATAAATATTTTTGTTGGAGAGATTACAGTAATCAGGACACACGTGGTTACAATATCCTGTGGCAGCGGAATATTTGGAAATAATTCTCACTCAGTTGCACAGCCACCCCCCCCCCCAAATGATGGAAGTTTAACTTTCATCATCCATTTTCAAACACTTATTAGCAAGCTTTTTCCTCATGTCTGGTTCTATGGAACGCATTTGGTATTGGGAGGAAAAAAATTGCTTCCAATCTGTTTTGTTCCCAAGTGGCTGAGTACTAAGCAGGGAGTCCTCACTTACCGACTACTTGTTCAGTGACCACTCAGAGTTGTGCCGAATGAGAGGGACTTGCAACCGGTCTTCAAAGTTATGGGAATCCCTCCCAGGAGTCTCCACCCGGCCCGTTTTGGATCCCAGGCCTCCAGAGAGCCTCCAGAGCCCAGGGAGGGGGGAAATGGGCCTCCCAGAGGATCAAGAAAAGCCTCTGGAGCCCAGGGAGGGTGAAAACGCCCTCCGCCGTGGTCCAGGAAGCCAACTAGGCCACACCCACCATGGCCATGCCCCCCCAGCAACCAGAGAACCGGTTGCTAACAAATTTAAAGCCCACCCCCCTGCATCTATTCCCCTGGCATCGCTGTGCTTAAGTGGTATTGTAGCATTATCCTTCCCCCTGGCCTCTTCCAGCTTGCATGTGGCCTGTGCAAGCCTCCCACCCCCCACCCCTGTAGCACCCCCTTCCCAACGGCAGGGGTGCACTCCTTACCTGGGACTCCCACCATTTTCCACTAAATGAGCTGCATGTTTTGGGATTAAGATTGCAACCAGGGTTGTCATTGGTAAGCAATGCATTCACATGATGTGGTGCTTTATGACAACATATTCTTAGTGACAGCAATCCTGGTCCCAATTGCCATTGTAACTTGAGGACTATCTGTGTCCTGCCCAAGTGTTCTCAGATTTAAATATAAAATCTTCTGCATAGAAACACACCTGATCTGCAAACACTTAGAGAAAGGTGGATCAGCAAAAACATTGTGTGATGACCCAGGGTGGGATACAAAATAAACACAGTCACAAAAACAGATAAAGCCCCTTTTATTCCTTCACTTTGCTTCCAAGCTCCAAAAAAACCTCCCACACGAGCAGTTACAAGAAGGAGGAAATGCCGTTTAAACTAAAAATGCCTATAAATTATAAAGAGTAAAAAACAACACAAACCAGGCAAGATAAGAGCTTGAAGACATCCACAGATGTCAGAACACACACTGGGAAGGACGCCAAACTCAGAGAGGAACAATAAATTAGAGATATTTCCATGCTTTGTTTCCAGCACTCGCCCGTATGCATGTCCATCCTTTTATCCAATTGTCACAGCTGCAGCCCATGAAGAGGATCAAGGCCTTCTCCTCCCCAGTAGACCACCTCTCTCCCTTATCCTCTCCTCCCTGCGTGCCCTAGGATGAAGAGGGGATGGGCCTGGGTTCTCCTCTGTCTGCCCAGCCGGCCTCTGCCCTTCCCCAGCCTCCTCCCCAACCTCCGGAGCCACACTTCCACTCCCTGTCGGCTGTTCCTCCTTTCCCTCAGAGTCAGTCTCCACCAGGGGCATGACACATTGCTGGAGACAAAGAAGTTTCCCTCTTTGTGGGAACATATCCTGGTAGAAAAGGTGGACATTCCCAGCAAATCAAAGTTAGGTTGAAATTATGACAATGGCCATCACTTTTTGCAAGTCCTGCTCTTGTATACTCACATTTGGACCTCTGATGTAAGTATGTAAATTGCAGTACTCGAGACATGACACATATGCACAGACACACATGCACACATGCCTGCATGGACAAAAACATCTAAGTGTCAGCTTTTTCTTCTTGTCACCAGGTTGAGCAAAATCTCCTTTGGACCTCTGGAGCCAGGAATGAAATGCAACAATACTTGGAGTTTGCCCAGCTACTTGGTGGGAGATTTCTCCTCCTCGGCAGAGTTCTTCGTCACTTTTGCGGTCCTCGTGTTCCTGTATTGTATCGGAGCCTTAATATTGTACCTCGGTTACATGCACTTGTATCGAGGTGCTGGAAAACTCCCTATGGTTGTAAGTCAACATAAACTGGCTTTTTACCTTGTTTTTCTATTATTTATAGCACTGGCTGAAGGTATGCATATTTAATGGATGGAAAACAACTATGAGTACCATTTATCCCTAAGATTAATTTATTGAGAGCATAGTTTTGTTTTTACTAATAGAGTAGAATATTTGTAGCTTGACACGAGAGGTCCTTGGTGCTCTTCTGAGCTTGCTTGTTTTCTTGCAGACGTATTTCTTCAGTATGAATATATTTCCCTCTATTAGAAGATAAATATTATAGGGAAAACAGTTATTTTGAATAAAAGCAAGAAGAGTGTCCGTTTCAAGCAACCAGAGCCACTTGTAAATAGCTAAAGTCAGCAACTTTATTGCCTATTACCTATGTTACAAGAATCTCACCAGACTGCTTGCCTTCCACTGGGAATGAGCAGATAAGGCTTCATGGATGTTGGAGGAGGTCAGGCTTATGCTGTTTATTGCTACACAAGGACTCCAAACTAGAGCCTTGCTTTACCCCTCCTTCCAGCATAACTGGCAGTTCCCCAACAAATGATTTCTTTTTTAAGTCCTAAGATTCATTTACTCACTCTTGGTGAATTTTGTTTAAACGTAGCTTTCCTCTCATCTCTGTCCATTGCTCTATGCCTTTTGTGAGTGTGTAGACCCCAGCCCATGCCTAGGCAGCTGGATGCAATAGAACAGGGAACTCTGATGCTAAGAACAGGTCCTGCATCCTTCAGAGAAATATCTAACCATAACAGTAAACCTTTCTTCCTCTTTTCTCTTGCCGCTGGATTCCAGGAACTGTGGTGAGTGTGACATCTTTTCTGTAGACCAAAAATACACAAGGCAGGGTCTGTGATAGATGTTGCAAGCAGGCCCACCCGCTCAAATTTTTTACATGCAGAAAATTTGCACCATTCCTTGGTCCATAAACTTTTGATGGACCCCAGAGTTATGATATGATAAATGTTAGTCCTTGGAATGATAGAATTGATCTGCTTGGATCATTTTTTTCTTCTTCTGAAGCCTCTTATCTTTCCTCCTTCTCCAGGACTTCATCCTTACGGTCATCATTGCTTTCCTGTGGCTGGTCAGCACATCGGCCTGGGCGAAGGCGCTTGTCGATATCAAAGTGTCCACCGGACCCAGCATAGTTACTGGATCTGAATATTGTAATACACAGCCCGGTTTCTGCCATTTCAATGAGATCAGAAGGATGGGATCCTTGAATGTGTCTGTGGTACGTAGGCCTGTGGTGCAGGAGGGGAAGGAACAGGTGGAAGGGGCAGGACTGCCATTGGTATGAGGCTGCCAAAGACTCTCTCGGTCAGTCTCTGTTGGAGAGAGAACACTAGGCTAATAATACAGCGCTAATTGCATGTTAACTGAAACTAGCAGTAGGAAGAGTTGGCAATAAACATGAATGGGGAACCTTATCTTACGTTGACCTTCTGTTTTTTTATGTTTCTCACTTTGTGATGATCACATTTATCTTCTAAGCAGCAGCTCCTGGGATAGGAGCAGAATTCTGAATTCAAAAACGGCGGGGAGTGCACTTTGAAAGGGGGTGGGCCAGATCCTGTAAAATCTCCAGTCAAGGGTGGTATTTGCCGGTTCTCCGAACTACTCAAAATGTCCTCTACTGGTTCTCCAGAACTGGTCAGAATCTGCTGAAGACCACCTCTGGTGAGGGGGCTTGGAAAGGGAGCAAAGGGTAACTTCAGGTACTGGGAACTGCAGCTTTCCCAGGTAGGTCTAGATAAACCATCGGAAATAAGTGTATTTATTTAGGAACATGCCTGTCTGAGGTGTGTTTCGTACTAGAGCGTGTTTTGGCATGCTTGAAATTTGAATTCATGTACAACTCTTTTAAGGCATGGTGAGGAATATGAACATTGGCTGGTTTCCATAGGCGCAACTTTGAAAACTTCTGTGCTCCAACATTTTTAGAACTTTATGGTTTGGAAAGGTGGCGTGAGTTTTGTAGGGAGTACTGAAGCAGTCCTCGACTTGTGACTAGTCACTGTGACCATTGGAAGTTATGATTGACACTCCCACCCCCTCCAAAAAAGGTACTTACTTCCCAGTTTTGAAGTTCCAATGCTTGCTCTGCCCCCTGCAGGCCTGTGATTGCATTTCAGGCACTCCGCAAACTGGCTCCCATTTATGGCTATTTGCAGCCATCCCCTAGTCACGTGTCCACAATTTGGGACATTTTTTATTGTAAACTGGCAAATACTTCCAGTTTTTGGCAAAAGCACTCCACGGCGAACAATGGGTTTAACTTAACAACCATAGTGGTCACCTAATTATCATTTGTTAAAAATGCTTAAAAGTGGTCACTTGGTCACTTGTTTGCTATCACTTGTTTTGGTGCTGTTATTAACTTTGAGCAGTCACTAAATGAACTGTGTTGTAAGTCAAGGACTACCTGTAGTTTTATACCGGTGTTTTTTTCAAACAGTTTTTAAGATGTGAGGGCTGAAGGATTCTGGGAGTTGAAGTCCATGCATCTTAATATTGCCAAGTTTGAAATACATTGCTATATAACATCGATGCAATGTCTCTTGTGATTCCAAGAAGTACAACTTTAAAAATATACGGGTGGTTCTTTGACTTACGACCACAATTGAGACTGGAATTTTTGTCGATAAGCAATGTGGGCATTATCTGAGTCCACTCCCAATTTTATGACCTTTTTACCATGGTTGTTAGCAAATAGCCTGGTTGTTAAACGAATCTGTTTTTGCCTGTTGTCTTTGCTTTTTAGAAGCCTGTGAGGAAGCTGCAAATGGTGATCCCATGACCCCACAATGACCATTTGCTTAACAGATGCCTTTTTTTAATTTTAAAAATAAACTTTATTAAACATTAAAAATATATACATAATACAAAACATTTCATAAAATACGAAGCCAAAAAGGTATCCATAACCAATAAACATAAAAACATAAACATTTCTAATTATTTAGACAGTGAGTTCTTATCAAACAGTTTTCCAGTGCTTCCTCTGGTAAATACTCCTATCATAACCTCTTTATATTTTCCCTTCCCTATCTGTTTATTCACTGGTTTCTATCCTTTATCCAATTATACCAGTTTTCCCAAACTGTATAATTTTTGAGTCTTCCTTGTCTTTTAACTTTTGGGTGAGTTTATCCATTTCCGCGCAGTCGTAGATGTTCTGGATTATCAAGTTATCCATTGGCAAACCGATGCCTTTTTAAAAGATTATAAAATTGGGTCACACTTGTCACGACTTACGATCATAATGGGCAGGCTCCATTAGGCCCATAGGTTGAGGATTACTTGTATGTTCCAAATGAAAATGCTATTTTCAGAAATTTCAGTCAAGCTATATCAAGTTCTCAGTGATTCCAAAGAATTTCTTCTCGCCGTGAGGATGAGCCATGGTGGTGCAGTGGTTAGAATGCGGTACTGCAGGCTACTTCTGCTGATTGACTGCTGCCTGCAATTTGGCAATTCGATTCTGACAGGCTCAGGATTGACTCAGCCTTCCATCCTTCCGAAGTCAGTAAAATGAGGAGCCGGATTGTTGTTGGAGGCAATAGGCTGACTCTGTAAACCGCTTAGAGAGAGCTGTAAAAGCACTGTGAAGCGGTATATAAGTCTAAGTGCTATGGCTATTTAGTTATCTCATTTTCTGCATTTCCACCCACTCCTTTGGGATGCATTTTCTTCTGTGAGATAGAATTTCAAGATGGAGTAGTCTGTCTTTGGCACAGTATGTTATTTCGCACATCAAAAATATGTCTTGTAACAAAAGACCTTTGTTGCTTAGACATGCTTCCTTTTCAGACAGAACTTGGCAGCTCATTCCAACGCTTTGATTTTGGTTTTATATCTTGTCTAAACAGGTAGTCCTCGGCTTCATTGAGCCCAAAATTTCTGTTGCTAGGTGAGACATTTGTTAAGGGCCCCATTTTACGACCTTTCTTGCCACAGTTGTTCAGTGAATCACAGCACTTATTAAATTAGTAACAAGGTTCATAAATGAATCTGGATTCCCTGTTGACTTTGCTGGTCGCAAGGCTTGAAAAGGGGATCACGGGACAACTGTTGTAAATATGAGTCAGTTGCCAAGCATCTGAGTTTTGATCACATGACCATGGGGATGCTGAATGGTTCAGTAGCCTAGAGGCAGAGTGCTCGCCTCACAATCAGGAGGACGTGAGTTCGATCCTAGGTAGTGGCAGATATTTCACTATACCTGCTGAATGTAACTCTGCATTGGGGACAGGAAGGGCATCCGGCCAGTGAACACTCAGCTCCATTCAGTTTCCCAGACTCCTCACTAAAAGAGGGTAATGATGATGACCATGGGGATGGAGTTATGGTTGTAAGTGTGAAAAATGGTCATAAGCCATTTTTTTCGGTGATGTTGTAACTTCGAATGGTCACTAAAGGAACTATTGTAAGTCGAGGACTATCTGTATTAGTGGAGGTGATTGATCAGTTAATAACAGATCCCACCTCCCCCCCCCCCCCGCACCCCTTCCCCCTGCTGCCTCCCTCCCTCCCCGTCTTTTCATTGTATTGCAGTGTTTGACTTTCTGTACTAACTTATTTATGGTTTTGCTTTATATACAGTATTTTACCTTTTACGATAGTGTAAGCCGCCTGGAATTACCTTGAGGTAAGCTGGGCGGCCAATCGATTTTATAAATAAAATAAAAAATAAACGTTCTTGAATAAAGGGTTAGATCCCTTTTGTGATAGAAAAGAAATCCAGGATGTGTTCGTTGGATAAAATCAGGGGGGGAAACGGTAGGCCAATTTATCTGAAATCATTTCACCATAATGAAATGCCAGAATGCTAAAGCAGATACCGTAACATTCATCGCAGCTTTTGGTAACTGGAGACACATTTTCTTTCACGCGGATGCCAGCAGCTCATGCAAGACCCAGGAGGGCCGTGCTGTCAAAATGTCATGCAAAAAAAAGGGAGCCAAATTTTATTTTTAGGGAGAGCATAGACTGAGCCTTTCCATTTTTATTGCTAGCTACTTTCCATGGGCTGAGCCTGTGGCAAGGCAAGGCAAGGCGTATCTTACTTTCGTTTCCTGATGTGAAACAGCTGGCAAACAGTTCGCCACATGTTTTTAACCATCTGTTACCCAAATGTCGGTCCTGCAGTTCTGGGGGGGAATGAAGATGCCTCCTTGTGGTACTTCTGGGACCTTAATGCAAACCATGGTTTGCTCACCCCCTGGAAATACAACTATTACAGAAGTGTAAGTTTGAGCTCACTGGAATATTCAGTCAATGAACTCCAGTGTTGTGTCATTTTGCCTTCCTCTCTTAATTCATACACTGATTCTTCTTCTTCTTCTTCTTCTTCTTCTTCTTCTTCTTCTTCTTCTTCTTCTTCTTCTTCTTCTTCTTCTTCTTCTTCTTCTTCTTCTTCTTCTTCTTCTTCTCCTTCTTCTCCTCCTCCTCCTCCTCCTCCTCCTCCTCCTCCTCCTCCTCCTCCTCCTCCTTCTAAGATTGCTTCTGCCAAGCAATGTCGGCATTAGGGGGCGTGCATAAGTGCACCAACGTGCCTACCGTCCCTGTCCTATTGTTTCTCTTATTCTTTTATTTTTCTTATATGTACCCATTTCATGTATTCACAACTATGTATACATTTATACTTATTATCTTGTAAACAATTGGCAAATCAAATAAATAAATAAATAAATAAATAAATTAACTGAGTCCACACCCAATTTTATGAGCTTTTCACCAGGGTTGTTAGCAAATGACCTGGTCAGCTATGCTGGCTGAGGAATTCTGGGAGTTGAAGTCCACAAATCTTAAAGTTGCCAAGTTTGGGGTCCCCTGAACTGTACAATATCATCCATCAAATATATTGTTTAAAGGTGTAGCGAATAATACATTTCCGCCACTTTCTGGAGCAGAAATCAAAGCCTTTGGTTCCATTTTTCTGCTTGGCTCGTCCCATCCCTTTGAAATAAACTGGGCTGCTTAGGCCTAAAAATCTTGAACCTTTCCCGCTTTCTCTTTCCTCTAAGGTCGTCGGCTTCCTCAACCTGATCCTGTGGGCTGGCAGCGCTTGGTTCGTCTACAAAGAAACCCACCTACACAGTCCTCCCTCCAGCGCTTTGCCGAACGCAACCGGTTCCCCGTCTCCTTCAGGGATGTGAAAGGCCTGAAAAGGCCTTGGATATGGAAATAACACCTCTCGCCTCAGGATGATCCACGCAATGGCTGTTCCCTCCCCTGTCCCTCCCCTCCTCCATGGTGTAATCGATGTGTGAAAAATCAATGGGTTTCACATTTTTGTTTTTTTGCTTCCACGCCGAGGACAGAACCGAAAGTGACACCGTGCACGAGAAATATCGCGTTGCACGAAAGCTTGTTCTCTCTGCGTTGAAAAAAAGAGGGTTTCTCTGTCTCGGGTTCGAAGACTCCCCGCCGCTCCCCCGTGTTGATAATAAAAAGTTGAGTGAGCAGCATTTCAATTGATTGAAGGCAGCTTGTCTTGTGTGTGATTAGAGTTGAGTTGTCCCCTCGCTCGGTGTCACTCTTTATTAGTGTATGCTTCCTTAGAAGGAAGTCCCGCTGAATTCGGTGGGGCTGACTCAGCAGTGACATGCTACCGGTTCGGCCCGGTTTGACCCAACTGGTAATTGGCTGAGAGGAGAACGAAGAGAAAAGCGCAGGATTGGCCCTCCTACCCACCAATGAGCTTTTCTGTTCTTTATCCTCTCAGCTGATTGGCACGGCAGTGCCTCAGCTGGTGTTTGGAAAGCTGCATGCGCCAAGTGCACGATCACCAAACCGGTAGGGAAACTGATAGAATCCCACCGCTGGGCTGACTTGTCCGGTAAGCGTGCTTGGGATCTCCCCTCCAGATTCCCCAGAAGGGACTCTAATTTTTATACAGATCTTGCCTTTCTGGCGGCTGTCCAGAATGTATGAAACGCCTGGGATTTGTAGTCAGTTTAGGTGGAACTCTAAATAACTCTTAACCCTTTGCATTTGTCACTCTCGAAAGTTCTTTAAATCTAGAAAATTTACAATGCTGGTGGTTAGTTTCCTTCCCTTCCCCATAGTTTCATCTGCAAAGACTTGGCTAACATATGGCCCATGTGAGCATGCCACATATTATATAGTTAAAGACCTTCAGGTTCCCTCAAGCTGCAGCACAACTTAACGCTTCACAGCTGTCTCCATTCCCTCCCTCCATCCCAGTCTTGGTGCAACTATTCTAAAAGAGGCCACCAAGTTGTAATCCTGAATGTTGTTGAATATTGTGATACCCCTGGGCAGTAAATCTTCCAGGTTATATTTAATTAGCTTTTTAATGACACTTGAATTCAGATTAGGTTTTAGCTTGGCCTGGACTTCTCTGCTTCTTTTTACAAGCTGGAAGGAGGTCTCCTCAATTGTCACTCATGGGCTTAATGTGGCTGGAAAATAACAGTGCAACCTTAACAGGCAGTTAATTCTGCTGGTGAATCCAGGGAAGCTGCAGGAAAGGTGATGTCTGGTCACGGCTCCCGACAAGAGTTTTAATTTGTAGTCCTTCTGGCAGACAAGACATCGCGTAGAACAGAGATCAGCATCACTCAAGGCTGTGAATTTATGCTTCTTCCTCTTAAAATATGTTCGATCCACCCCAAAGCAAAACCTTTATGCCAAAGAATCAGGGCTTTATGTAAACTGTACAGAAGCACGTGGGGGGTGGGGGGGAAATCACACCATGAAGCAATTTACAATTGTTTTTATTGTCTGCCAAGCACCAGGAAATTCAGGAGACGCAGACAGTTGAAATGGGTATAAAGGTTTAGTGTAAGCTTGAGCTCTCTACAAGAATCTGAACTACTAAGAAACAAGGGAAATTAGTGGGAGATAAGAATAGAAGCAATTCAAGGTGGGCTGGACTTAGATCTCTTGTGGGCACGAAGGGACTTGAGACTATAATGCGTTTGACCCCTCCTTCAGGCTTAGCCTGGTCATGTACATTTTCTGGGTAAATCTCTACATTTTGTGATTGCAGAACTTGGTGTGAGGTTTGTGGCTGGTGGTTTTTCTGGCATAATTTTCCAGAGATCTTGTTAATTGGCTAGAAGTTGAGGTTCTGTTTGTCACGATGTCAAATACTAGAAACAGAGGCAGGATCTCGAAGTGAAAATGTATCTTGCATGGTTTTTATTTTTTTTTATTCTAACTACCGATAGAGAATATCTGTAGCTCAAAGTTGAATTGTAGAGTCCTTGGTGCCCTCTAAGTACCATGTTTTTCTTGTAGACCTTTCATGACCACACTAGGTAATATTATCAGTGCATTTATGCTAATTTTTATCATTGCCGTGTATGAATTTGCCCCATTCACTGCTCCTTTGTTGCCTTGGCTATGTCTTTACTACCAACTTACTTTGCCAAGGTATTCTACCATGGTTGTGGAAATCCACTAAAGTTTCCAATTGCAAACTTACAGGACGTGTGTGTTCTTTGGATTGATTCTTAAAATAATGGACAATGTGATCAGCCGTGTATCAATTTTTCCTCTTGATTCCTATTCATGCCTAGATCTTAGGGTGCTTGTATGAGTTTTCCCCTTTTAATATAATTTGCATTTACTTTCTCCATGGTTTTTATTGGATTTACAACTGTTTTCATGATAAGACGTTGTGGTTAAACCTTCAATTTTTATGTTTTGTTAGGGACAGCACCTAATCTTCCCCACCCCAATAGTCTATGCTGTAATAAGATCATCCTTTTGTAAAATCTGTCTTAGTCTCATATCCCAGTGGGGGGGGGGAATGACTGTTCTTAATTTTAGTGACAGTGAAAACTAGGACTACAAGCTTACTTATCAAAAAAATGTTTCAGCAACATTGGGGAGATTATAGTTAAAAACCAGTGTCATATTCTCACCATCATACTTGTCTTACTATCTGGTTGTTCCTGGTTTGAGCAGAGTATGCATATGGGTGAAAGTGAGGGTGTAGAAATTGGACACACAGTTGTTTGAAAGGGTATAGGGCGGGGGTCTTCAAACTTGGCAGCTTTAAGACTTGTGGACTTCAACTCCCAGAATTCCTCCTCCAGTCATGTTAGCTCAGGAATTCTGGGAGTTGAAGTCCACAACTCTTAAACTTGCCAAGTTTGAAGACCCTTGGTGTAGGGCCCCCTGCTTGAACAGAAGGTTGGACTAGAAAACCTCCAAAGGTCCCTTCTAACTCTATTATTGCCACAGAGAGAGAATTCTCACTTTTTGAAAGTAAGCTTTGGTTCTTCCCATAAAATTTAAGGCGTTGGGCACAACCTTTTCCAATCCATAGTGCCCCCCGCCCCCTTTTTTTCCCCGCTAGAGTACAGAATGAATGTGCAAGTGTTGGATTTATGGGCTGGAAACCCCCAAAAAGGCCTCCATTGCTGAAAGGAAGAAGGAGCTCTGGACCTTGTTTAGAAGTCAGACCTCATTACAGGTAGTCCTCACTTAATGACTACAAGTGAAGTCATTATCAGCCTTCCTGGTAGGACAGGCAAGGAAACATAATCAGGTGAGCTAATTCTACTTTTATTATAAGGCTACATTAACAGAATCTTGCAAGTCTGAAAGTACAACTTCTCCCGCCATCTCTTTTACAGCCTGGGAAGTTAAGAAGGATCCTTTCTGCGTTTCTTTCTCTGCGCGTTATGCAGCTGAGGGCTGTACCCTCTTTTATCTGGTTGTTCTCAAGGCTGCCTCTCTCCCCAGCCCATTCCCTCTCCCAAAGTCATTCCCACATACCATTTTACATTTGCCAAGTGAAACATCAGGTGACTCAATGGGCTCACAGTGTCACTTTCCATTCAGCTGTTAAGCGAAACATGACATGATGAACAACTCGCAATTTTACCACTGGCTTCTGCTTATTGGAAGCTGGCAGTGAAGCGTGCAGGTGACTGTGGGAGGCTGCAACAGTTGTAGATTCAAGAGCTGGTGCAAAGTGACTTTTTCACTGCTGCTGAAACTTCAAACGGTCTCTAAAGCAGGATAGTCATTAAGTGAGATCTACCTCTAGGTCAGGGGTTTCCAACCTTGACAACTTTAAGCCTTGTGGACTTCAACTTCCAGAGTTCCTTAGCCAGTTGGCTGAGTAACTCTGGGAGTTGAAGTCCACAAGTCTTAAAGTTGCCAAGGTTGGAGACCCCGGCTCTTCTAGGTAATCTTCCCTGACCCATCCTAGTTTTCCTGAATATCTGCAACTCTTTCTTTGGCCAGTTGGTGGTGCTGAAGGAAGTGGACTTTGACAACATTTGTTGGTTGTGACCATCCTATCCTAGCTATGAAAACTGATTTCTTCACACACAAATCCCTGACCAACATTGAATGAATCTTCTTGAGGGTTGGATGAAAGTATTCCAAAGAGACCTTTGGCCTAAATTTGGAAGGCAGATACCAACGGGTGGGTGAAATTGCATCTCCTGTTACATTGCAGACGTGAGAGGATATTTAGAATCTTGGTCTAGGTCTAGGACAAGAGTCTTCAAACTTGGCAAGTTTAAAACTTGTGGGCTTCAACTCCCAGAATTCCTGAGCTAACATGACTGGAGGAGGAATTCTGGGAGTTGAAGTCTATAAGTCTTAAAGCTATCAAGTTTGAAGATCCCTGATCTAGGATGTTTCTCAACCGTAGGAACTTCAAGATGAATGGACTTCCAACTCCTGGCTGGGGAATTCAGGGAATTGAAGTCCACACATCTTAAAAGTTGCTATAGTTGAGAAACATTAGGATGTCAGGTTGACTTTCCTTCCCATAATTCCCCTAGAAGCCATCCCATCCCGGCACAGCCCTTTTCAGGGGCAGGATTATGGGAATGTCAGAATTATAACTGGCTTGTCCTCATTTCAGCTGATTCCATCTTCTGCTCTCCTTGTTAAAATACCTTGCAGTTTTTCTATTCCCCAAACGGAAATGACAAAAAAAAAAAAAAAGTGCCAGTTACAACTTAGTTTGTAGAGCCAAAGCTATAATCGTGAGAGAGAGAGACCCTCAATCTAGATTCAGGTCTTGTACAGCAGTTCAGACACTGGATGCAATTAAAATCCCATTTAGCTGTACAGATTTGCTGCTGCTTTTCCTTGAAATGCTGAAAGCCAGAATATTTGGAAGGAAAACAATGCTTCAATAAAATAGAGCTTTCTCTACTGTATATTTTAATCGCTTGATAAGTAGAGCCCTCTCCAAAATCCCTGTAACACAAATAAAAGCTCACTTGATGTTTTCCCTCCCCTGTATATAAAGCTGTCTGCCCTATTCATTCATTTGCAGGGAATTTCATGTTTTGCAACTATGGCCTTATATTCCTGATCAGCTTGAACACATTTCGAATTACAGTTGCTGTGCCAATATATGCCTTTTGCATCTTGTTATGTTGGAGACAGAGGCCAAATGCTTTGTTACATATATATATTAAAGAAGTTCATGTACACCTTGAGAATTTTCTCCCGTCTCATCAGAATTATTTGGG